TTGTTTACAGATTACGAAGAGCCATAAATTTCACCTGAATGTGTAAACCAAGATATAGTTAATTAATTAATTAATAATCGACTGACTCATCCTTTTTTGTTTTTACACTCTTGTTTACAGATTGCGAAGAGCCATAAATTTCACCTGAATGTGTAATCCAAGATATAATTAATTAATTAATAATCGACTGACTCATCTTTTTTTATTTTTACACTCTTGTTTACAGATTGCGAAGAGCCATAAATTTCACCTGAATGTGTAATCCAAGATATAATTAATTAATTAATAATCGACTGACTCATCCTTTTTTGTTTTTACACTCTTGTTTACAGATTACGAAGAGCAATAAATTTCACCTGGATGTGTAAACCAAGATATATTAATTAATTAATTAATAATCGACTGACTCATCCTTTTTTGTGTTCTTACACTCTTGTTTACAGATTGCGAAGAGCCATGAATTTCACCCGAATGTCCAAGCTTCGATGAAGTCCATTTGATCAGATGAACCTGGTTGGTATATTTCTACATGGAATATTCAACATCACCCCCAAAAATTTAACATTATGGTTTTGGTCCTCTCTGACATATATCTTTTTTTTTATCATCCTTTGCACCAAATGGGGCTATATTTAAATTGCAGGGGTGTAACGTGAGTTGAAATAATCCTGGAAAAATTTAAACATAAAATAAAGAAGACACTAGTGAACTTTGAAAATATGGTTTGTAATTTGCTATGACAATTTATTTGATGTTATATTATTTAATTTTGTATGTCTAGATATCGTTATTCTCCCGCTACGTTTTTCACAAAGAAGATTCCTAATCATTTTTCCGTACCAAAACAATCAGCAGATGTTGAAGTTTATTCCAGTGGTCACAACTTAATAATAAATAATGTTTTGGCCTGTACAAAAATCTGGTATTATAAAAAGTAAATTTAAAAGGTATACAGTTTAACCAATTTCAGTGCCATAGATAGCTAACTTAACAAAATCATTGAAAGGGTAAAAGTTGGCAAAATTATATATATATATTTATTACGTTTGACAGACCTGCTTCATACTGTATATCTACACTTAAGACTAAGTTTCTCATTTTAAAAGTATTGTAGTAAGTTTTGTAAAAGAGAAAAATTGAATTAAGTTTCTATTTCATGTATTCTTTCATTCTGTGAAATAAAAAAAATGTATGAACGCTAATCAGTAAGGAACTTTATGAATTTTTAAACGAACAGTGATCAAAGAATGAGTACGAGATCCATGACAACACACTTTAGAATGCAGTTAGCAAGACGAAACTTTCAAATGATTTAAAACCAATATTTGTAATTGTACACGTAATAAAATAAATATAACGCTGCTTAAGTAAGGTTCTCGAAAAGCTGCTAATTATTTCACTTGACAACTAGTGACTACTACTTTATTGTTTATTTGTAGCTAAGCACAAAGATACACAATGATCTATCTTGTTTTTGTCCATCACGGGTATCGAAACTCGGTTTCTAGTCCGCAGACATACTGCTGTGTCACAACTTTATTGATAATTGTATTTGTTTGTTTGTAATTAAGCACAAAGCTACACAATGAGCTATCTGTGCTCTGCCCACCACGGGTATCGAAACCCGGATTCTAGCGTTGTAATGATAATTGTAAGTTCAAGAAGAAGGGCCCGGCATGGCCAGGTGGTTAAGGCACTCGACTCGCAATCTGAGGGTCGCGGGTTCGAATCCCCGTCACACCAAACATGCTCGCCCTTTCAGCCGTGGGGGCGTTATAACGTGACGGTCAATCCCACTATTCGTTGGTAAAAGAGTAGCCCAAGAGTTGACGGT